CATCTAAATTGTTATTTGTTATTGTCTGTGTATTGCCTTTATGATTTATCCCTAAAACATATAGCATAAAATTCAATAAGTGTCAATGTTTCAAGCTAACATTGGGCTATGAGGATTTATGGTGTTAACGTGTGTAGTCTCATAAATCGGATACTTCTTTTGAAGGAATGCTTGCAGCTGAAGCTATATTCAGTGTGCTTAATGAAGGTCTGGAAATGGACGAATACTGGGATGCTTTGAGGAAATCATGGGTTTGGGAAGAACTATTAAGAGCTAGGAACTATCGACCCGTTAGTGAAGCAAACCATTGGCTTATTTTCTGTTATCTCTACCTCTCTTCCCATTTGAAACTTAACCTTGAATTTTTTTCCGAAGCTTGTTTGTCTGTTTGAGATCTTCAGTTTAAATGGCTATTTTTTCATTGTAGGCCTTTGATTATGGACTTATCCCAGGACTTGCCATAAGTGCTTTGGAACAGTAAGATATAACTTCTCTTATTTTGCCTTCACTTGGATAACCTGCGTTCGTCTCTGTGTACTTCCCTTTTCAATACTCAAACTTAGCTTACCCCTGTGCCCTGCAGTTACATACTCAAGGGGAGGCACCCAATTACCTTGAAGCATGGTGAACCTGATCATGAAGCTACACATGTAAGAAAACTGCTTAAAGTTTATGTAACGTGTGTATTTATAAAAATTTTCTTTCATGGGGAAATGACTATGAAGATGCAATTTATTTTATCCTCATTGATGCTTAGGTGTGCCCTGAAAACCATTTTCTTTAAAGGTTTTGGAGATTTTGTAGCAGCTTGCAGTTTAAGCGATTTTTTTTTCCCTTTTGATATATATGCTTTGCTTATGGTAATGGTATATTAGAAGAGCTGATTGTCAATAAAGCACAATAATAACTTGTTATCCATGTAGCTGACCTCTCTTAGTGGGATAAGACTTGTTATTGTATACATGCTTTGCTGAATTTTGTTATAATGAAATGTCTGTATTTGCAAGGGTTTCCTTTCTCCATTACACTTAATATGGGGTAGGGTGTTGTTTCTGTCTTGTGGTGCTTTGCCATGGTTTTTTAGTGACTGACAGTTATGTTAGGGATTGAGAAGCTTAATGCTTAATACGAACTTCTTTTTCCAGCCTTTTAATTTATATTCAGAAGAAATTCTTGTTCCTTTTTATGTTCTTTCTTTTTATCTAATAAATGTTTCTTTTTCAACTAAGAAAATGTTATTGTACAAATCATGGGCACTTAAAGAAGGGGGGTAGAGGGAGACCAAGAAGGAGAAGTCATTAAACAAGATCTCTTAGTTAATGGCTTATCAGCATCATGTGATCTATTTAGCCGATTTTATTTAGTGGGATAAGGATTTTGTTGTTGTACAAGTTTGGGCACTGTAGCAAATGACATGAGAGAGACATGGTCGTTGACAAATCAAATAGAACGTGTCTTTCTTAATTTGTGGAATTTCCCTATTGCCAAAGCAAGTTGTGTTTTTGTTGCGGATGAACTGTGTTAGAAAGATCTTTTCTGGAGCCTCTTAGTAATTCAATTTCGGCATGACAGAAGCACTATAATTTCATAAAAACAACTAACTCTGATTGAGATTTTGCGAGTAGTACCTATTAATAACAGACTGAAGGGATGTGATAATTTAAGTTATGACCCTTGACATTTTTTTCAGGTTGCAAAGTTATATTCTCCTATTCCTTACCCAAAGCCGGATGGCGTTTTCTCATTTGATGTACCTACCTCATTGCACAGGTTTGAGATCATTAATTCTTCTTTATTGCTTAGTGCTGAACCGATTGATGAGTGTTATACGAAGAAAACTAGGTGACGGTGATGAGAGGGAAGTTGTGCCGTTAAGTATGTAAAGAGTTGGGGGTCACCAAACTCACATAACTAGCAGGAATGTTTAAGCTGAAACTGGATTAAAAAAAAGGAGGTTAAGAAGGGTATAAAAAGGACGAAAGCTGAGCCACCAATATGTAAAAGTCAATTATTTTTCTTCACCATTACTTGCTTATAACTTCTTCGCCACCCTATTGCCATTTATTTCAGCACAGTTATCAATGATATGGTGAAAAATGATGTGATGCAACCTAACACTTACTAATAGAATAATTCATCTCATAGGCATGCAGTAATTTGCGTGTGCTGGTGGAGAAATGGCAGAGGTCCTATCATGATTTTTTACTAGCTAATTAAGGGTCCGTTTGGATCAGCGATTGGAAAAGTAGTTTATTGAAAAAGTAGCTTATGGAGAAGTGAAATTGGGTAAAAGTTAAATTAGATAAGCTGAATTGTGTTTGGATTAGAGTTCAGAAAAGCTAGTTTGCAAAAGTGAGATTGGTAAAAGAGTGTTTGGATTATGGTTGAGTAAAAGTAGATTTGGTTGTAAAATGAATAAAATAAATATGAGTTTTAGTAAATAATGAAACATGATTAAAAAATTGATTTCACATAATATAATGAAATTAAAATAATTTAATATGAAGAAGTCAAATTTAATGAATAATAAATTTTAAAACTTTAGAGAAATCATAAAAAAATTTGTAAATATAAACTGGAACGTAATAAAAAAATAATTTAATATAATACAATAAATTTAAATTAATTCAATATGAAAAAATGAAATTGAATGATAAATTAAATCTTCAATATTAGAGAAATTAAAAAAATTATTGTATTTTGTTGACTAGGCAAACTTTTGACAAAAAATCATCCATGTGGCATCTGAGTGACTTACATGACAATACTGTTTTATTGATTTTCTTTCCTCCCCAAACAAAAATTCATCGCATGATATGGAGAAAAACTTTTCTAAAAGATCTTGACTTTTAACAGTTTAACTTCATCATTGAACTGCTGTCAAAAAACTTAATCACGGAACTGGGAGAAAAAAATACAATCGACCCCCAAACCATGATCGACGCCCTGAATCATGAAGAGGAGTTTGCTCTTAAGCTCGCAAGGCAGACGCGACGGAGCTTCTGGCAAGGAGGTGACAGAGCTAGTCCAACGGCAGAGACGGGTCATGGGTTTAATGAGCTCTGGTCGAAAAAAGAGAGTGAACAATAAGAGAATATGAAGGAGTGAGAGAATAATGGAGGAAATAAGAGCTTATCTGATTCAATAAGCTACAAAATTAGCTTGGACCAGATCGTGCGTTCAGTAGCTTAAATTCCATAAGCTACTTTTTTTTCAAGCCCAACCAAACAGGAGCTTACACCAATCGGGCTTATGCTGATTTTAAGCTACTTATAAGCTCCTTAGAAGCCCACCAAACGGACCCTAAAATACCAATAATCTCCTTTATTGCTTAATCAAAGATAAAACTCCTGCTTTTGGAGGTAAATACATTGGCTTTTCCCAAATCTCCGGATATTTTAAGGTTGTAGGCAAAGTCTAAAGACCAAAGCGTTGCCTTTTCCCGAATAATCCTATCTAAGGTTGTCTTTTTCTTCTTCAAACCCATTTTGCAAAAGGATAAGAAAGTGAGAGCTTATAGGAACTATGCGATTGTTAGAGGGTCAACCTCCTTCCACAGTTCCACCTAAAATTAAGGCTGGGAAAAAGTCTCTCTCGTGAAGAAGCAGTAGGACAACATAAATTAAAGGAATGCGTCGCAATTTAATTTAGAGGATAAACGCATATAGCCATCAAGTATTGTGAATGCAAAGTGGGGAAGGCTTTGCGGCTTTCATACCGTGTAACGGAGTCCCAGGTTCCCAGACCCCCTCCTTTCTTGATGTTAATGTTTTTGGTGTTTACAAAAACTAATGGTGGACATTGTCACCGAATACATCATTTGCAGCTTTTTGAACCTTGCTTTTATTGTTTTTGATTGTAGGAGCAATACAAATCATGAACATGATCAACCTCCTCACCTTCGGTTGAGAGATCCAAAGATCCCTGAGCTTATAAATTTACCAGTGTATGCTGGTCCTGAGTCGCGATATTGTCCTGCACGAGTATATGAGTAATGTCTTTTTACAGCTGATTGATTCTGAAGGACTTTCAGGTTTTGGATTTTCACTTGATCTGTATGTGTCTGAAATACAGGTATGTCCCGGATGAGCAGAATCAGCCAAAATTGCAGATAAATGCTCAAAATTGCTTACATTGCAAGGTAAGCATCCCAGATCAATTTGTAGGATTGTAGTTTAATTTGTGCCGGACGCTTCTGTGAACACGTCGATAGTTCAAGAGATTACAAACATAGTTGCTCTAGTTACTGATGCCAAACTAAACTGCACATGACGAAGGATGAAGGGAGGGCCAAAAGTCGTTGGCGCCCAAAAAAATGATTTTTGTATCTTGGGGACACTTGTTGATATCACTCCTGTTTCATCTTGGAATAACAATGTCCGTTAAAGAGGAATTGAATTCTTTATGTTATAGGGTTTAATTGTTTTTTCCGCACGCAGGCATGTGATATTAAAGATCCAAACAAAATGTAGAGTGGACGGTGCCTGAAGGCGGCGGGGGCCCGGGCTACTCAATCATGTAGATACAGACAGAGATAACCCGTACAGTGTCCCTGAAAATAGGGTTGGAAGATGGACGTGTCCCTGGGGTATAATATCTTCCAGATTAATGTGTAGTGACACTTGATTCTAAATTACTTCCCTTTGAAAGTATGCCCACTGCTTCGAAGACAGGTTCCAACGAACAAAACCTCATGTTCAGTTATAAATGCAAATGCATGCAAGTCCGCTATAAAAATTGTAATGTATTGCTTAATATGATAAATCCTGGCGCCAGAGCGGCATCCTACTACCAGCTCAAGTAGATATAAATGGTAAAAGCTCACCATTTGAAGAAATGATTGGATAACACATTGATCTGAGTAAAACATTTGACTTTCAAAGTCTCAAGACCCCACGGTTAGCAAAGTACTCCTCCCCCACCCCAAAAAACCGTCATTTTCGAGATCTATCGAAAATTCTGGTTCCCTGGGCCCCAGGAAAATGAAGTCAGCCATTTCGTTGATCAGAAAATATAAACAACCGCCTACCATATCAAAAGAGCCATCAAGGCAACCGAAAGAACCACAAGGTTTAGCGGACACGAGTCAACCTTATAGATCTTACATGGTAAAAGTGCAAACAAATCAATGTAATACTCTACGACAGACAATAAGCAGAGCTGCTAGGAATAAATCAATATAACATGGCCATAGCCTAATCAGCCTCCAGGTATGAGGCAAATACAAACTAAGGGAGTGATGGGGAATTCCTCAACAATCCTTGGCTGCCGGTGAATTTCGATCTTTGGGGCTTGGAGAACGAGTAGTTGTTCTCATTTTTAAGTCCCCCGTTTGTTGCTGCTGAAGCTGATGCAGCTGATGTTGCTGAAGCTGCTGCTGCTTCTGAGACTGAATCTGGAGTTGTTGAAACTGTTGTGTTGCCAAGAGAGTGTGCATGGCGTGATTGTTGGGATAAAATTGCTGCCCTCCTCGAAAAGGAGCAAAGTTCATCACAGGTCCACCATTCATCATAGCCTGCCCCGTCACTAGTTTCAAATGCTGTATTTCCTCTTTCAACGCGTCATTTAAAGCTACAGCCAAACAATTATAATCAATTAGTTTACTAATCTCCCTTGGGGTATTCATAATAGTCCATCCACCTGACAAAGATCGGGATGAACTGTCTATGTCTTAAATCTGGAACGGTTGATCCATTTTTTGCAATCAATGACCTAAACGTAAATCCAAATTTTAGTTTTCATGCATTTCACTACCGTACTTGAAAATTATAATAAATAAAATCCAAAGGAAATTATCAGAAGGATAAAGCGACTGGCTCGACTGCATAAGGAGTCAGTTAACAACACTTTTTATAACCAATGCAAACGTGTAGGCCATACGCCTTTGAAACATGTATGCATGTGCTTACCATCTTGCAAGTGAACTTGCTGTTCCATAGTCTGCAACCTGAGCTTCAGCTCACTGTTCTCAGCATTCAGCCCATTTGTATCTCTCTGCTCAATAGAAAGAGAGAGAAAAAATGGAAACAAATTTGATTAACATTCTCCTATCAGCTTTTAAATCAAAAAGAAAACATGGCAATAGCCAACCACCCTACTCAAAAAGGCCAACATCTAAATAACAGGAAGACTTGGTAGCAGTAAAACTGGGGGCATTCACTCCCACAAGATGCAGATCATCCACTAGGAAATACCTGCAGGAGAGTTAATTGTGCAGACAAAGATGTTGCTTCCGTTTGAAGGGTCTGCACCTTCCTTTCAAGCTCAGCAATATAGCGCATCTTCCTCTCTTTTGACCTCGCAGCAGACTGCCTGTTTGCCCATATCCTGTTGCACATTTGCCAATTTTAGTCATGGTATCCAGCGCAACAAAAAAGGCAGTACACCTATGATGTATTATTATAACTAATTTTAAATGTCATGGTAGGTAACGGCCACTAGCCGTTAGATAGGTTGTTAAGAATTTTTGTTAGTAGCATTAGTTGTCGGACACTTTCATACTTCCACCCACGCCTATAAATAGATATGGAAGGATATCCTACTGTACAGATTTGATTACCCAGGAGTAATAAGGCACTATTCAGATATGCTTTCTGCCTTCTCTCGTATTCCCTCCTGTTCATCTCTTTTCTCTCTGGTTCTTATCTTCTCATATCTACTCCTAATCTTTCCTGAGCTCTCTTCTATTCTTCTCTTTTTCTTGTTCTATCCTATCAACCTACCTTATTTTACATGTCTCCAACACCACAATGTCAACAGAACTCCCAGGAAGATTTATTGGATCTCACTAAATTCCAGAACAATGTAAACCACAATGGTAATGGCGTATGTTATTCCCATGTAACTGAAGCAAAACTGAGGTTCTATTAGGTAACGGTAAATTGTTATAGAACACTTGTCCTGTTGCTCAAAGTACCAATGACTACTTATTTTTTCGGGAGAGTGGCCACTACTCATTCTTTTTATAAGATAGAATTACCTACTTCATCAAAACCAAGAAAACTTACCACCTAAAAAAACCAAGAAAACTAATAGATGTCTTTAAAATTACCTCATCTTCCAAATAAAGCATAAAACAAGATTAAAGGGCAGCACAAATAAAGGGAAGGCACACCGCTGCACAATAGAGCGGAGGGATGTTTACATAATTATATTGAAAATACACTCAGATGTACTATAATACAAAACCCGCATCAGGCCCCCAAAGCAAGCTAAATTGGCAAAACAAGACTTTTAACCAAAAAAAAATAATAACAATACCTTTTTGCACGCTTTGGGTCAACTAAGGCAAGTTCCGCAAGCTTGGCAGCTGACATTGCTTTTTTGGAATCAGCTGCAGAACCTTCTTCAGAACCTGATACTAAGATCTCGGGTTTAATGGATGTCGACCCATCCATGGACTGGCTGTGTTGGTGCCTAACTCTGGGCCTTTCATTAGCATCAATACCAGCATTCTCTACAGGAGAGGCCACAATTCCTGCTGTTGGTTCCAATTTTGGCGCTGGAACTGATGCAGCAGCTTCACCCACTTGAAATGCAGATGTCGCAGATGAAGAGTTAAATTTATCCATATCAAGGTACATCGATAGCAAGTCTTCCTCAGTCTCATCAGAAAAGGAAGGCCCATCAGCACCTCCAACTACACCAAGGTCACTGTCAAAGCTTAGATCATCCGGCAGGGTGAGAATCTCAGAATGGGCCCGTCTATGACCCCTGTTTCTAGGAGGATTATCAGGCATCCTGCTAATATCATGACTGAAGCCACTAGAGTCCGAGCTGGTACCGGGTACCAGCGGCGGAAAAGATGACGATGATGAGGATGCTTCTGGTTTCACGTTGAAAGAGCTTCCCGGAGGTGAGAAGCCTGAATAACGTCCCGAAGGCGGAAGACCTCCACCGTAAATAGAGGATTTATCATTATCCATGGAAAATCCCCAACTCCAATTGCTCGAAAGCGAAAGAAAATCCTAGAGGCTGCAGGTTAAAAAACATATTTAATCACTCCGACGACCAAATTTTCATCAAAAGAAAATTCCAACAGAAGAGGAAAATCACAGAGGATTTTATCTATAAGCACCTCAGAATTCAAAGATACGTCTCCAGGAACTGAAACTCTCACCTTGAAGCCTGAAGCTGGAACCCTAGAAGCTATCACCGGTAAGACAAAGCATCCACAGGAAGCAAAACAACCAACCTCAGAGTTGCGTTTGCGTAGATCGCAGTACTCAGAATTGGAAGATCGACGCAGAAAACGCGTTCGAAAGACACGACGCGCAAACTCAGATTCCGCGTTCAGAAGTCAACGAAACCAAAACCCTAGAACCCATACAACACGGCGAGCTCTGGGTTATTGCCTGCGAGCGGTACATGTATATAAATATATGCGCCCCGAAACCTTTTTCTTTTTCGCCCTCTATTCGGAAATGGAATTCAAATCTGGGAGATTTGATCGAACAGATCGGACAGGGAATTGCAAAAGGCAATAAAATGGGGAGGTTTTCAAAGAAAGCGAAATGAAATAGAAAAGGAGAAGAGAAAATGGCGATCGAGGGGGGGAGGGGGAGGGTTTTGGAACAAAGAAAATGAGATCCGTGATAAGAGATGAAAGAGAAGCTTGGGAGCGAAGAGATTGAAGGCAGAGAGGTAAAGGAGCAATGGAGTGTGTCGGAAGGAATAGAATTGCAAAACTAAATATCCGGGAAATTGTGTCAAAATTAAAAACAAATTTAAGAAATCAAAATAAAAATTATATTAACCTTTATTTAAAATTAAACCTAATTCGGAAGTGAAGGTCCAAAAGGATAAGGGAGACATGGTACAATGTTGGGCTAAAAATCAAGGGAAAAAAAAACGGGGGGGCTTGACGAGGCTTCCATTTAATTTTAATAATTCAAGAATTCTTATGGGCGATTGCAGGCCCATTTGTCGTCACAATTAAAATAACTTATAAATGTTTTATATAAATTAAGATAATTTTTTTTCTTATACCTATTTTATATTTTTATAAATCAAGATTAAAAAATTATTTATAACTCATTTCAAATATAAATTCAGAACACGAAACAACTCACACGAACGATGAACCCAATGTCTGCAATTCTCTTTATTTCGATTCCCACTCCACGCACACAGAAAGCTGGCAACACACAGTTGGTTTTCTGCGAACCCACACGCACCTACCCAAGTCATGATGGGAGCAGGGAGGCGAATCGACCAGCTAATGGAGCCAGAGGCCCTCTTCCTGATGAAAGGAGCTTGCGCCCTGTAATGAAGGGTTAGTGAGGAAAGATGATAGACTAGCCGCCGGGCCAGTGGGGCTCGAGTTCTGAAGAGTGAAGAAAAATTCCCAACTACGTAGCAACATCTCTAGCTACTCCCGCTACTTCTCTGTGGAATGCCCACCGTTTTGCGCCACTAAACTCTTCCTATTCCTTGCTAAACAGTAATACATTTATATAAGAAAAAAATAAACAGTAGTTTTTCAACATTTAAATCAGTTTTTTTACCACTCTATCTTTTTGTGCGTGCCACCCCAGGTGACGAATAGAAATTAGAAAGGCAACATTCTCTGCCACCAAATATGATACAATAGCAGCACATACAGATCATTCTCGTGGACTTCAACCAGCAAATCACTGGTGCCCCTCGCGCCAACAGACCAAAACATAATTTAGTAACATCACTCTCATTTGGACTCAAATTAAGCATCTGAAATTTCTACAAAGAGATAGCATCAAGAAACTATTATTGCAGAAGGATTCATCATCCTAATCTATACAGATTAAGTATATATAGAACCAGAATTTTATAATTTCAAGCTGAAAAAGGCCTAAAAATTATCTTTTGCTTGGCGGATGACACCTAAGGCGTGTGCATCGTCTGCTGTGACTGCAATGTTTAAAGACCGCCGAATTTCCGTGCTCATCGTACGAAGGAATGGATTGCAGGCCTTTTCCATCTTCAGGGTAGTTGGGATCTGGTAAACGGTTCTTTATTAAATTTTTCATTAGGGAAAAAGAAAAAAAGTAAACCAAATATGCGGAAACAATGCAACATATCACAAAGAACTCGTTAACATACCCTCTTTACTTTCTTGATCATCTACTAACTTAAGAATGGAAAAACCTACAAGGACCTTGAACCAACAGATGCATAGGGCCTCTGCTAAACCCAGGAACATGACTTGAACCAACTACACTGTATCTGTAATTCTGCACTAAGGATGGTGACGTTTTCAAAGTCTAACAAACACTCTTAAAGCTCCAAAAGGTCGGGGGAACGCAGAATATCAAGCTTCATGTATGGCTAGCTTTTTCCTTTTTAATTTTTTTTTTCCCTTTTGTTTAAACGTATACCAAGGTCAGCTTTTCATCAACTCAACTTTGCAGGCGGAAAAAAAAAAACTGATAGATTTTACTTGTAAAGCTCATCATAATTAAGCCTCCCCCAAAATTAAGTTTCAAGTAAAGGCCAAAGATAAGGGAGGACAATTCAGGGCTTCCTGTTCGTGGGTTAACCAATGATTGATTTCACTTGTCTTGTTCATTATTCCTTAACCATTAAACCTTACACCAAGAATTTCAAATTATTATTATTAATTTTCCAAATAGAGAAGGGGGAACCGGGAGAAGGGGGTGAGGAAAGGACTCTTCAACGTTAAAGAGCAAAGCTTTGAAAATTACCGTGGGCAAGCCCTTACTTCGAAGATGGGCTACATGGGCAGCATAGGAATGAAGTTCCTTGTTTGATGGTTCTATAGATAGCGCAAACTTTGAATTACTCTGAAAATTCAAAAGTTCAAGGTCATAATGCTTGAGACTAAAAAGTTAAACAGGGAAGACTGGGGAAAATAATTAAAGTAACCAACCAGTGTGTATTCATGACCACAGTATATACTTGTATCGTCTGGCAATGACATGATCTTTCTTAGAGAAGAGAGCATCTGTGGCATAGATAATGAAAGTTAAAATCCTCCACAATTGAAAATGAAAATCAACATTACAAGCTTATCAAGCACCTGACTTTGACACCACTACAAAGCCAAAACTTCTGTTTATGACCAAACAACTTCAGACAGCAACAACATATCTAACAAAGCATGTTAAATTTCCAAGTCATACATGCTCAAAAATACATGTTCAACATTGAAAATATGAAAAATCAGTATAATCACTCCACAGTACCTCCAGAAAATCACAGAACAGAAAATAGAAAACAGATTATTTATGGGTTCATTGCATATGTTCCTATACTGACTAGAGACTCAGTTTCTATATCTACAACTTAAGAACGACAAATGTAAGGATAACAGGAAAGCAGCTCTGATATCATATTAAATAAAACCTTAAACAATTACTTCAACATATGTTATACATTTTTGTAATAAAAAATTATGAATTATTGTCTTAATGTTCTAATCACAGGATAATAAAGTCTTTATCTGCCATTTACATAACTATGATTCAAGTAATTAAGGCCTTAGCAGGCATGACAAAGGACTTTTGGCCAAGGGGGAAAAGAACAAACACACCCAATAAAGATGTATTCAACGATAAAGCCACTTAATCACTTATAGCTTAACATATATTTCTCAAACATCAAAAGATGGAAAAACAAATGCAATTCACATCGACCTGCTCAGGGGTTCCTTCAAAGAGCTTGCCGCATGATAAGCTGAACAAAGTGTCCCCAGTAAAAATTGCTCCAGATCCAGGAAAATAGAAGCTGATGTGACCTGCATTCAGTATAAAAATATGACAGATTTATAAAATGGAGATCAGGGCATTGAAGAAACAAGATAATACAAAGGGAATGACATTTAGGCCTGCTGAAGAAATAGCTTAACATTACGCTAAGTGATAAATCAGACGCCTTCATTAAAAGACACCACCCAAACCATAAATACTGGAGTGAAGTCCAGCCAATTCAAAGGAAGCTAATACCCAGGATTCTGTGAAAGTAAATAATTTAAGAAATTGTTTAATTATGAAGAACTTGCGTGACTTGAAGCACTAAGTTGAGAGTCATTAGAAAAGCTATGACCGCATTGGGTTAAGAAGTTTCAAACTGAAGTAAGATAGTGGCATCAAAAACTTTGCTTTAAATAGCTATAGTTGCATTGCTCAAAATCATTATTACAGCTTTGCAATAACCTTTGTACTCAACTATATAGTTGTTAGTCAGTAAACTCAAGGTCAATAAGACAACACCATTTGATGGAAGAAATACGCTAGATATCATTGCATTCATGACTGACAACACAATGCTTGACGTCTATATGATGCCATTCAATTCCAAAAGCCGTAAACTAAAAAAGACAGAAAAGCACCAATTAAGCTGATTTGCATCAGCTGATTGAGTTAAAACTAACAGATCAACCTTAAAGAAAACTTGCTAAAGCAAATAGGCAACGAATGTGACCTCGAGTATGACCAGGTGTCTCCATTATAAGCACCTCGTGGCCTGCAAACATCCACATATCTCCATCATTCAAATAAATGTCAATACCAGGAATCCTTTCCTTGTCTACTCCCGCACCAATCACCTAAAATGCAACAAGGGAAGAGTATGCATCAAGAGGGGGGAGAAATACCCATAGCAATGTTTCAACAAATCTTAAGTTTGAATTAAATAGGCATAATACAGAAAAGATAAACTCAAACTCAATCACATCTTACAATATTAAAAAATTAACGCTAACAAGAGAATTCAGCAATTCCAATGCTTAATCAGCCATAAAAGCTTCTACTATGTGAATGACTGGTACGGACAAATTTACAACAATGTACTTTTATGATTATCATTTATCATGTGGACAGAAATGTCTGAATCCATGGTGGTGTAGAGCTGGACAAGGTAGCAAGGGAATTATTTTTGAGCAGCCTCCACCGTAGAGGGTAAGGGGATGAGGAGAGAAAAAAGTTGGGGATGGGAAAGTGAGAAAGGAAAACTCTTCCATAAACAAAAGCAGCAATAAGACAAACAGAGCAAAGCAAAATTCTAACTTCAAATGTGTTCTTTGCATGGGAAATTGGACTTCAGACGCAAATCAATGATATTTTTATTAGATGATGTTCATCTTGACAGTAAAACATTTAAAAGCTATAATTAGAATTACAAAATGAATAAAGCTTTGCAACAACATAAAAACACCATACCTTCGCTCCGTACCTTGCTTTCAACTCTACATTCCCACCGGTGTGGTCATGATGATGGTGAGTGTTCAGTATGTATGTCAAATTACGATTTTTCTTGGTCAAAGCATCAATAACAGGCACAGCTTCAGAAGGATCAACAACGCCCACCGTCCCCGTATCTACATCATGTAACAGATATGCGTAATTGTCCCGGAGGCACGGCACCTGAAAATTATATTTGAAAATAATGGTGAAATAAGGCCACAAATGTTACGTTAACTCTGTCAGCAAATTGATTCAAAAATCTCATAGCTCCGATGATAGAATATTTCAAAGAAAGTTTTGACAATCTAAACAAGGAATAATTCCTCACCAATTCAATTTGCAATGAGGAAGACATATTCACTACGCTGCAGAATTGATTAACTCTCAGTGATCGACTAGCTCCACGTAATGTCTTCAATGGTGTAGAAAAGAGTCGCATAAAACCATATAGAAGACTTTTTCTGAAGCAGAGTTGCCTCACATCCGGCCACACGCAAAACCCACTTCTCACCTACAAGACAGAGATATCCAAATCCAATTACCGTGAAACGAACTAAATAACAATCTCCTAACGCAGAATAAAGCATCAGCAGGCTATTACCATATAACAACATAACAAGCTATGGACAGGGAGATTGGGGGGGGGGGGGGACACACGCACGCACGCACGCTAATTAGTACACGATTAGCCTCCGTTACAAGTTCAATGTCCACATTTCACCATGGGTGCAGAAAGGCTTTGAAAAAATAAGAAGCAGGAGAAATGTTATTAAATGAAGAAATGAAAAATACAGGTTATCACATGAGTCCCGAGCAAAACACACAGGCCAATTCCTCAAAGAGTTCGAGGAGGAACAAGGAATATAAAAATATGCTTCCATGATTGCAGGCACGGAAGTAAAACAACAGCCAACAATGACAGGAGAAAATGGAAGCTAAAAAAGTAAAAAAAAAAAAAAAATGTAGGCAAATATGGAAGTAAGGCATCCAGTGCTGATCGAGGAAAACAGCCATTCTGTGTGCAAGTTGCGTCCCAAATTGAAGGGAAATCAGCATGACTCAGAAATGCAATCGAATTTCAGGCAAGAGTAAAAGAATTAGAGAAGGATGAGTGAAGAATTCAGGTAAGAGAGAAAAAGAGAATAACAAACCCTAGAGCAAGGGAAGGTGGCCATGGCAGAGGAGGCCTTAGGGAGGATCCGGGGCATCATGGCGTGAGGAAAAGCGAAGAGAAATTAAAAAGAAGGAACGTGGGATGTGAGTTGGCACCGATGCAGTTGGTAGGCTAGCCGCTCTCTACTGTTCTCTTGAAAAGCCTGTTCCCACCGCCTCCCTCCTCCACGCTTTTTCCCTCACAATTCATTCATCAAAATCCAAGTAAATCGCTTTCCTGTCCAGCGCCAATTTTTTTAATATTTTCATTTTAATTAAACGGTATTCGTGCTTCCCACGTGTATTATTCTTCCCGCCACATCGACAAATCTGAAATTTAACGTATGAAATATCGTTAGCTAGGGGTGAATTTACATAATTACTCATGTAAGTATACAGTTATATAACTAGCTTTTCAAGCTAAATAATTTCAATCCCCTTTTTAAAATTAATGAGTAAAATTATACAATTTAAAAAATTGAAATGCGCATAAGTCAACGACATTTGGATACTGACATGCGTTAATTAGGTTGAGCGAATATAGCTGGAAATAAGAATTTTGAAAAAGCATGTAATTGTTTCCCTAGTGCAACCAGTGGGCGCAACTTATAATAGCAAATATATTAATAATATTAAGAAAGATTAATATATTAAACCCTATAGTTTCCATCAATTTTTAAATATGTTCCCATTTAATCTGGATTTAAATATGTTCCCATCAAGGAAATTCACAAGATGGCCCTGGAACAAAATCTTCACCTTACTCTGCTGGCTAATCTGGAAGAACCGGTGTAGGAAGGCTTTCGGGGAATCCCAAGAACAACCAAAAGAACTAGTCAACAAATGCCTCTTCCTTCTCATGGAAGAGGAAGAGAATGGACGCACTATACACAAGGTGTTTCAAAACATAGTTAGAGACCAGTGCAGATGGACCTCGCCGCCTACATCATACGTTCGACTTGATGTAGATGGATCTGTTTCAAGGAATGGAATGGGAGCTTGCGGTGGAATAATCAGAGACGACCAAGGAGCTTGGCTGATGGGATTCCAGCAACAACTTGGTCAGGCAGGATCAACTACTGCAGAACTAATGGCAATCCAAGCTTGTCTACGTTTATGCAAGACGAACGGATTCTCCAAAGTGAAGCTTTACTCTGACTCTTGGGAGGCGATCCAATTGCTCGCCTCAAACTGTAACCCCTCACACCCCCTTCGTGAGGAAATCACCGAAACCAGGAGCTTAATTTTCTCTAATTGGGATCTGGAAGTGCGCCACGCTTATAGAGAAGCAAACAAATGCGCTGACTACCTTGCAAAGACTGCCCATGATGGGAACGAGGACATAAGACTCGTTCACACGCCTCCGCCTTTTTGCGTGAATCAGATGGAGGAAGATCTTGCCAATAGGATTAGTACACCGGCTAGTATTTAGGAGTTTATCTCCTTTCCTTTCTTCAAGCTTCGCTTGCCTTATATTCAAAAAAAAAAAAAAAATATGTTCCCATTTTAGTTTTGAGTGTCAGACAATGGAAAAATAAAAAGGAAAGGAAGATTCTGCTTCTTTGCATGACTCGATCCGGTAGTTATCATTTATTTATTCTTTATAGATTTTTAAGGGGTAAAAAAATGACCATGGCGATTAAAGGATAATGTCTGTCCGCATGAAAAGAAGTAAGAACAATGTTGGGAGAGAATGCTGATAGGTACATTTATATATCATCTACACACAAAGATAAGAATTAATTTGGATCCAATTCACTTGATTTTTTTTTTTTAACTTATCGAGTTTTTGCTCATATCAGGTCTCATGAATAAGAAATAGTATTTTGTGCATCGGGATTATTTATCAAAATAAAAGATTTTTTTTAGAAATAACAGTAATTATATTACAAAGAGGTAAATCAATGAGTAAAATTTAGCCATCATAAACAGGTAAACTTTGATATCACGATGCTCATGTTGACTGGATCAAATTATAGTCTTTCATCATTTGCCCTTTAAAGTGTGCTGGAGTTAAAATTGGTTGGATCGGTGAAATTCAACCATATTACGATGAGGTTTGATGTGGAAATACTCCGGATAAATTGTTATTATGCAGTCATAGGAATAGGATAGAAGCTGCCCAGTGTCTGGCGCCTGAAACGGGGAAAAGAATATAAAATGAACAGAGAGAAAACATGTTTTGGAAAATGAGGAGAATTATGGAGAGATATTTAAAGGAGGGAGGGCGTGTTACGTGGAGGAAGATGGAAGGGAGGTAGGGGACGGCGACCCTTGAGCAGGAGAAATGATGAGGTATATCACTGTAGCTAGGATTAATGTTAGTATCTCATGAATGAATCTGTGGCCCACCACAACAACAAACGACCACTCCACATGTCGTAACAGCTTTTGTTTATCTTCAATCTTGGCTTTGTTCTGTGTAACAAGTAACACCATCGTTCCTCGCCAGTCTCCAGTCTATGACCTTATGCTGTACCTTCATTTTTTCATGTTTGGATGATGATTAAGCCACAAGAATCTCTTTCTGGGTTGGATGCGCACCACAGAGCCGGCATCAATTTCACCTCACGCCTCTTTTCCGACTTGACGGAAAAACTTGAGCTCCTTTCATCTCCGTACCCTGGATGTCTAAATGAACGCATTCGCATTTTAATACGGGACGACACAGCCTATATCCCTCTACCTGAGTTACATCAAATTGTTTCCTGTTATGTTAAGCCTTTAACTGGGCTGGGGAGACACCATAACCCAAGAAAGATCAGTTTTGCTTATATTTTCATTCGTATAACCTGAACAATTCTCAGACAAATGGGGTAACCTTATTCGCAGTTCACAGTAGCTACTTCCTCTGATAAATAATTTACCACTCCACCTATACCTCAAACAAATGTAGGATTTATGTACAAAAAGAGAAGAAGAAAAATTTCTTTTGGGGCAGGGCGCAGCGAGGGGGACCAGCTCAACTTCGGTGAGCAAGGTAGCCACGCCTCCTCACCCTAACAATCCGTCCTTCAGCTAAGGCATCTATCTATTTTTTACCTTTTCGACTTAGTCTCTGTTGCTTGGATCCGAGGTGATGATTGTGATCCACCACTTAGTGCGGCCGCGGCAGATTCAACGTGTGTTAGAAGATATTCATAAATCTTCTTCCTCAACCGGTCAATTGTCTCTGCTGATATCTGGCATGATTCTCCCTCAATCTTATTCGACCCTATCTCATCTAACCAATCATTTACACTCTTTAGCTGAGATAACATACCGGCTATTTGGCCATTATCTGACAGAGTTGTCCCCTTCAGCATCCAAGAATTTCTCAACAAATCCAAAAACCAGTCTCTGGACCGTGATTGTAGCATTTCGGCTAAATTTACCACTTCATCAAGCCCCATTTCCCTTAACCAAGGCTGAGGCGGCTGAGGCAGCTGCTTTTGTCCATTTGCTAGCCCGTCACTTGTTCGACGGGGAGTTCCTTGCGAGGCATGTTTAGAATTGGCTACTGAACGGGTTTTTACCTGTGGTTTTGAAGAAGCATCTTCACGGCCATTCTCTAGAACTAACATGGGTTGACTTCCCAGGATAGTCTTTTGATGTTGACCATTACTCGAAGCTGGATGCTTGGATGATTGAGATTCTCTGGTAAAGACTGCAAAGGATGATAAATTGGTCGCTAAGGCAGCCTGAACCCAGGAAGCTGCGTGTTTTTGCCTGTCTAATGTTACTTTTAGTGCTTCTTCCATTGTGTTCTTTTCATAATCTGCAGATGAACCATCAGGAATGGTTTTTGATAGGGAGTCAGCAACTAAGCGAGCACCATTTAGGCTTGTATGAAGACTCAAAAACTGTTCTACTGCGGGCTGCGGGTTGTGTTCCTTTGCAGAATTACTTAGCTCAGAGTATATACTGCCAGAAACATCGCAAAAATATCAGGAAAAACTTCATGTGTCGCATTGTGCAAGCCAAAGTTAAAAAGCGGTTGAACCTGAAATCTATCTGGATGATTCAGCATTTCACCTAATTAAAAAAATTACAAAATTTCCAGCAAACTTGACAGATATACACAATAGGTTTTTCAAATTGAAATCAGAAAACAAAAGCCCAATCTTTGACACTGAGATGGATTGTTCCTAGTCCCTACACATTAACTCTTCAGTTTTCTCCAAATATCTGAAGCAAAACATCCAAGAAATTTCTGCCATGACTACAATTGCCAATTATTAGAAATAATTGCTGTCAAGTGTTATCATGCCAACGATTTCTTAGTGGGAGTTTAGGCGGGGGGAGAAAGGGAGTAGGGGGTTAGCTATACAATGAGGGCTTATCATCATTGTCAATGCTGATAATTCGTTTTCATGCAATGACTTGATTGGTAAACCAATTTAAACCCACTTCCACCTACTCCACTGCCAAAAGCGATAATAACCCCAAAAAAAAAAATGCAGACATTAACCTCAAAGTGGAGCTGAGCAGTACGAAATATTTCATAAATCTCACCTGAACTCAGATGAGAATGAATCACACTGAAGGAGCTGATCTGCAGTTCTGCCTGTTAGACCTAACTTCCCCATAGACTTGTTAAACTTAAATTATATGTAAGATGTTCGCCCCTATTATACCGATTTAAATTCACTAACCATGCTTTGACTTCACTTGTTTGCAGTAGTTGCACTTCAATTTGAATTTTAAGTTTCTTTTTCCTTGTCTATTGCCTATTGGGAATTTATTGCATCGCCAACATAAAACACACTCTTCAATGCTGTCCTCAGTTTGGGACATAATAAACTTTTTTTCGTTCATTTCCCTCAAACATTGCATGTCTGGACCATAAACAATTTCATCCTACCATAAATAATTTCAGCCTAAGATAAATGGATGGGCAAAAAGACTTCAAAGGTGCAAACAAGACCCTATCCCCGACCAAGAGAATCATGCAACGGCCAAATGAATATGATGGTGCAGAAGGATAGAACAAATGGAAAGCAGGTTTGCAGCACTGAAACTGATGTAAAATGATCTTGAATGAACAAAACGTTTCAAACCATTGGACATCAGGATGCTACATAGCAAGAAAGTTAGGAAGCATGGGTGGCTAGCTTATGTCTTCATCATTGAAGGAAAATAATGTCGAACACAAATTCATGAAAATGAAAACATATTGATACTGCTCAATAGGGTAGGCATTAGTGCATTTTTACACCCAATGAAGATAATCCAGCGTGCACTCTGAATTGCTTTGCTGATCTAGAAGAAGAGCTCACTCGCAAATCACGACTAATATATAATCAATATATTTTAGTGGTTTAAGTCTAAATTACAACATTTATGGCTAAGCAGCCTATAATCCAAACAATAGTCAATTATCAGGGACATCAAAACCAACCAATTTAGAAGTCCAAGAAGATAAGCAGTTAATTTCTTAATAATGTATTTATACCTGAGACATTGAAGCAAACTCTCAGCAGCAGAAGCCTCTTGCATGGCCTCAATTGCTGCAATCTGTGCTGCATCTCTTTGCTTCATAACTTCCTGTGATAAATACGTGAAATAAGTACACAGAAATGTCAGGAAATAAAGATTCAATAAACCAGACATTCCTGTGACTCTGCATCCAGCAGATACAAACGTGGCATTAAAAACAGTGACGGGAAATAATTTAAATTTGCTATGCACTATGCAGACTCAGAACACTGAACTGAACTAATAATTATACATTGGCATGACATAAATAACCACCTCATTGAATATGTCCCATTAGCATTGTTAACTTGCACTCCCAGCCTCCCCTCAAAAGAGACGCCGATAACCCAAACGGTAAGAGTAATTACACAATTCATAATGGGTGCTTCTTCAGAAAATTCTTTATTACAGAAACAAAGTAACAAATGTCAATAGACAATTGCAAGAGAAGATAGCATACAACTGTCTTCATCACTAAGCAGTATGTACTTGGAAAGCCAAGACTGAGAAGTTAAAAACTAAAAGACAAGGAGTTCTCAAGGAATATACCTTCCCAAGCTTTGCAAGGGACGATGGGAGTGAAGCCCATTGAACACTGGCATCTGTCACTTTTTTACTATTCAGAGAACATTTAACCAAGTTTCCGGGGAGCCCAGTGCTAGACAATTCTGATGATTTCCTTCCACGGAAGTTCTTGGTTTACTTGACTTGTCTTGGCTCTCCGGAGTTCAATTCCAGCAAGAACCTTCATTCACAGACGATTGAGCTTGTGTTTCCTTAGAAGGCTTTGACGTCGCATGGGGCTTGCTATCCTCTTTAGATGGCAATTTTTCACTTGATGTGCTTTTCCTCGGAGCCTGGCAGAACATAAAAACAAAGGATAAACAAAATTGTTTGGCTTGAAACACATAGAGGTAAAAGCCAGAATCTTAGGGTGACACAACATACATAGCGGATTATTCAATATGCAATCAAATCCAAAAGAGTCTGAGAATGTAGTTGTTCATTAAGACAAGTTGCGAATCAACTTACTGAACTACGAACTTCATGCTTAGGATCACACTTGGCAGCCCTAATTTTGAATTATCTCTATCTTGGCTTCCAGATTCCCTTCCCAGCTCTTACGCAGAGCCTTTGCACCGAACTCCATGCCCTGAACCAAA